TCTTCCCACTGCTCAGGAAACATAATAACTTGCAGAAACCGTTTAACAGAAAACATTTTTGTAACTGACAATGATGTATGGAATGTTTTAAAAGCGGTAGACGTGTCGAAAAGCAGTGGCCCGTTCATTCTCACGAATCAGTTAATAAAAGCATGTGGTTCCGCCTTAATAACGCCGTTAAGAATTTTATTTAATAATTGTCTTTTCGAACGAAAATTTCCTGAAACTTGGAAGCTATCCTTCGTCACTCCTATCTCAAAACAGTCGAGTGACCTTACGATACCAAAAAACTGGCGGCCTGTCAGTTGTCTTCACCCCCTTTCAAAGGTTTTAGAGACAATCATCAATGATAAACTGGCGTCGCACTTGACCGCTAACAGGTTGATCAGAAATTATCAATTCGGCTACCGAAAAAAGCACTCTTCTGAATTGTTATGCCAGATCCTAGTTCAGAAAGTTATGAACTTCATTGATAATGGAATCGATGTTGATTGTGTTTTTCTGGACTGCAGTAATGCTTTCGACAGAGTCGACCATGCAACTGTAATCACAAAGCTACGTAATCTGGATGTGCATGAAAATTTAATAGACTTGTTAAGTGACTACTTGCAAGGCAGATCCCAGGCTGTGATCATAAACGGTATGATTTCCTCTGTTAAGAATGTCACAAGCGGCGTACCTCAAGGGTCGAAAATAGGCCCGCAGATGTTCTTATGCATTACGAATGACATAGATGATCTGCCTGGTGACAGCAAAATACTTGTTTTTGCCGATGATATGTGTGTTTTGCAGAAAATAGAGTCAGTACAAGACGAACAGAATCTGCAGTCTTCCCTAGATACAGTCTCGAAATATGCTGCCGATCATCAGTTAAAATTTAATCCTAAAAAATCGACGCATATCCGTTTCACGAAAAAGCGCGCTAAGTTGCAAGGTAGTGTGTACTTTATCAACAACGAGAGTATACCGAATGCGGAAAATGGAAAATATCTAGGAATCTACCTTGACCGCCACCTAAACTGGAAATACCACAGCGAAAATTTGGCAAGTAGGATAAGGAAACGAATCCGGTACCTGAACGCTCTGTTTTCATATCAGAATAGTGCAGCTAGGAAAAAGTTGTACGATTCGCTCGTTAAGCCGATCGCTGATTACGGTAGCACAATCGCATTCTGTCAGCAGAAGTTGTTAATTGACCTCGTTGAAAAATGTCAGTATCGCTTCCTAAAGACTATTCGTTTAGGACCTTGCAGTTTCAATACCCCGAAGTGTTACGACTGGCTAAGTATAACTCGCTGTTGCTTAACCGCATTAAAAAGTCACTTCTTCTCGTGTACAAAATCGTTTTTAGCCTTGTCCCTTACGGCGAAAAGTTTTTTAAGCTTCGTGAAAAGTTTGCTGCCGTTTCTCAATGTGTTGCAGAAAGAACGCGCCTTGCCACCGCCCTGGACGAACATCCGTATGCAGTGGAACCCTCAAGGACAAGTTCAAACGGACGGACCTTGCTAAGTGAAAGGAGCTTCGCATTCCTTATGTCGCAGCTTTGGAACGAGCTGAAACTTCCTCAAGAGTCGTATTCAAGCATCGCCTGTTTCGGCGCCAGTTTGGATCGCATCAAATGGACGGAATTACGCTGGACTAAACGTTTCCTTAATGCTGAGCACTATCCTTTGTTGTAAATTTCTGATGAACTGTTGACTGTTTTGTTATGTGCCGTGCTTTCGTTTATATGAAAGCACATTCTCTTCTGGTAGTCTACAACCTCGTGCAGGATTGTCCTGATTGTTGTAGACGTTAAGCTGATTAAACAAACAAACAAACAAACACCATTGTATCCCGCATATCCGGATAGCCTAATTTTGGTTGATGTTTTCTGACTACATGTGCTGTTTTGGGTGTCTATTGTTTGTGGTTCCTTGAGCCAGTGCATGAAGCGGGTCGCTTGCTGGTCTGCGGCTATCCGTGAACTGACTACACTGTTCTCTCTGCTTAGGTCAAGAGTTTCCTGTCTGACTGATAGAACAGCGCAGTAGTGTTGCTCATACATATGCTCATCCAGGAAAGAGCATCCCTCTTCCGTCAGAAAACTACAAAGCCTGTAATAACGCTCTCTAACGGACTCAGGTTCGGAGGAAATGAGATCTAGAGTGTAGTGCGCCGGACTGCTGGCCTGTTCTGTTGTTGTGCTCACTCCAGTGGCTGTATACTGTCTGTGCCTGTGTCTGCGGCTGTCTGACTGACCACGGAAAGAGAGTTCAAGGAAATCTCTCGGTATGCCTGCTTTGAGTCATCTCTTGTTGCTTGTAACAGATGCTGCTGTACACATGACAATGGAATGTTGTTTGCCGATATGTGTGCTATAATTTTTTCACAAAATGCCGTTTTTTCTTCGCTTTGTTAATGTGTAGACTGGAACATTCGCTAAGCCAGCGCAGCTCAGACTTTGACGAACAGTTCAGAAGAGACCGGACTAGAATCTTTTCTGAAGATTCCATGGATCTGCTGGATTGGAACGCTTAATGTTTTCTCATGAGGGAAGATCTGTCTGTGCTCTTGAAGTTAAATGATACATAGGATGCAAGAATCCCAATGGCACACAACAATTTTGCTACAGTATGTACTGTACTCGTATATATGTACTGCAGACAAAGGTCAGGGTGTGGCAAAATTATCGGCAATGCCAAAACAATATGATCTATAACATTTTTTAAGAGCCAAACAGTAATTAATGTATTCGCGATTTTAATTTAGTAAATAATTTCGCTAATGTACTTCCAAAATTTGCCGTTAATATTTGTGCACAAAAGTCGCTTCAGTTATGCAAACGACAGCGGCAAAAATGATTTGCAATTCAGATCTCTAATGTGGCCAAAATTTTTCACTAAAATCGAAAATTCGCAACAGTGTTATCGATGATCACAAAAAGGAGAAGCTCACTCTGAACGACAACTGGCAAATGAGGGTGGCGGCCGGCTCCCTGGTATCCTGTCGGGTTTGTTCGGAAAAAAGGAGCGCCATGTACCATCAGTCGGTTTGACTGCTGTTCCAGGGTTGGTTAATCCACCTTACCACGATCTGTCGGCTGTTAGTGTGGGAAAGGCTGGCACGGTCGGCAGCGATGCTGACCGGAAGCTGACTACCGTTTACAGGGTCACAATGATGGGAGATGCACGATCATCCCTTGGCGGTTAAGCAACACAATAGAAGGTCATCGCAAGTGTTTATTAGCAATTACAACGTTGCAAAATTCAGCGAGCAAAGCAAGCTGAGGAGCAAGAACGCATAAGCGTGGAACAAGAAGCGCGGAAGGCGCGTAGCAAGAAGTGCGTAAGCACAGGGCAGGAAGCGCGGAAGGCGCGGAGCAAGATTGGGAGCAAGCTGCAGCAAGACTAATTTCAAGATGTTTCTGACCGTAAGATGTGGTCGGTAAAAGTAGAAAAATAGGGATTCTGATCTTCATAACACAACAACCAATAGACAGTAGAGAAGCGTAATTAACACTACTACTGGCGGTACATCTAATTTCTATCGCTACAGGATGTAGCCAGCAGGTTCTTATGAACCTGCTGGCTACAGGTGAACCTACGGGTTTTGCTCGGATGAAACCATTAAATACAGCGCTACACAACCATCTGGCTCGGTGCAGATTGCTCCAATGGGCATTTTCGTGCTGCTTGTTTGCTCCAGTTTATTGATTCCTCAAGAAAGCTCTTTACAATCGTTAGCCTCTATGTTGTGCTGCCGATAACAGTAGAAGTACTGAATGCCGGACTAAAACCGTCGGCGCATGGTTGCTTGAAAATAAGTTTTAATTCGACTAACGGCTAGTATGTAGAACAAGAACATAATAAAACCTAACAAGATTCCCTCGGAAATTGGAATATAACCCAAGAAACTTAAGAATTACATAAGAAGGCCAACGAAAAGTGCATCTTTTGGAAGGCGAAGGCGAATGCGCACCGCTCAAAAGGCAAAGGCGAAGGCGAAGCCACTCATACATAGCCTAGATTAAAAGTGACACATTTTGAGTTGGACTGTCTCGTTGCGCTGTAACGCTCTGTAAGATTCTGTTTGCAGTAAGTAACGCTGTTTCACAGAACTTCCGGCATTTTTCCGTACAGAGCTCACTGAAAGTGCGCGGCGAGACAGGCTGCAATAATGGTGTGGCAAAATAGCCAACTGACTATTTTGTCGACCATAGTGCGGCAAAATAGCTGAGCATCTATTTTAACGCAGTGTGCGGTAAAATAGCCAACAAGCTATTTCACCCACCATAGTGCGGCAAATAGCGAACCGGCTATTTAGCCGCAAACACTGCGGCAAAATAGCCACTTCGTAATTTATTAGGTACCTGTTGTCCCGCTTGAATGATCCGCAGAGGTTGAGAGCCGCTAAGGAGAAGGCCTTTTTGTACGCAAATTATGCTCAAAGTCGGAGTCACAGGTAAGATTTACTGTATTAACTCGTAAGTAAACAGCCGACATCAAGCGAAAACGAAGTCTAAACAACGGACATTTATGAATCACATGCAACGAGCTGAAGGCTAAAGCGTCTTACTTGGTTGGCTTCGGGCTTCATCTATAGACTCAGACTCATCATGGCGTTGCAGGGACGCAGACCAAGCAACTGAAGCAAGGTGCGCAGTGCGCACTGTCTGTACGATTTTTAGCTCTATTTTTTAACGGTAAAATTACTTACTTAAATCGGCCATTTTATCCAGTGCCAACAGCTTGCAACTGACAGTTAATTAATTTCTTAAAAACTGCGTAAGTAATCGTATCACTTTTATTCTCGGTAGAATAAAGTTGCGTTGCTGAAAGCCATCAAACAGTTGAAGGTAAAAATTGTGCCACTACTGCCTACTGCTCACTACTGCCTTTGATTTTCAGTACTTGAAGTGCTCAAAGGATGGTTACTGCCTCAGTCTGCCTGCTATAGTATCCGTATGAATAGAGTACTCTCAAGTATCGTACGTATCTGAATCTTAGATCGTTTGCCAGGTATCGTGCACAATGTTTAGCGGAATTGACCAGACGAACAGCGTGGATATTGTGGGCAAAGACGGCATGGTATGCTACGGACGTGTGGTCGAGGTTACGGACAATGGGTTCTTCGTCGACTTCCTATCTTCCGAGCGCCGCCGATTCTTCCCGTTTGGCAGCAACGTCTTCCTTCCATCCTGGACCGTAGGTCCTTTGTGTGCAATAATAGCCGACGAGTACGCCAGACCGGACCTAGCTATTCCCGTGGAAGTGCTGATGCGTGAAACACCCTCCGGTCCGTGGAAGTGGTTTTCGGCTGAGATGGTTAATCTGGCGCGCGGGGTACCTCACGAATCATACAATGTGGCTGTTGTGCGCTGGGGCACGACGACGTTGCTCACCGATATGGTCCTCGGCGACCGGATTCGCCAGAGAGCACGGAGTCCGACAGACGCCTTGGTCCAACGCATCCAAAAAGGTACATTTGTTAACGGTAGTACTCCGTTGCCGAAGACATACTGTTCCATGTCGGTTGAGGAAGTGCGCAAGCAAATGCCTGATTGGTTCGATTATGTTGAATTATGGAGATGGTCGGTTGCCCTCGTGAACATTGCGGATGATCGTTTGTTTTTTATTGAGCGTCCTCCGGAGAAACGTCCACTCAGCGGAGCTGGTATTGATGGACTGCCGGTATGAATTGCGCCGCAAGGTTGATTCGTTGTGCTTGACTTGTTTCTTGATATTTAGGAGAATCTGCCAACTCTTCACGACAGTTTAATGAAATGCTTCGCACGTGTTATCTGCCAGCCACATTCAGCGAACGCCGAGCTGGAAAGTCAGGAATCACAGGGTGCTTTGACAGCGTTATCCGAAGAGGTGTGGCTGGAGGTATTTTCCCAGTTGGATACGTTGACGCAGAATTCACTGCGGGGGGTCTGCGTGACGTTTTCCTACTTACCTGACTCACCTACCTTGACTGTAGAAATCTTTATCACAACCGCCGAATGTCAGAAGATGGAAAAACTGGACCGACGCGAGTATTTTGTGGTGGCACCCATTTATAAATGTCTGAACTCTTCGACAAAGCGCATCGTCGTGGCTGACCGAAAGGCGCTGCTGAGTGAAAGTGATCTGTGGAAAATGTTAGACATGATCCACTACGTGACGGAGCAGAAATCTTCACTGCGACGACTGACACTATATTTACAAGGTCTTCGCTGCAGCTTCCAACTCGGTTTGACCTACGATCCGGAGATGGAGCATGACAGCTGCATGCAGCATATGCCCAAACCAGTGCGACAGTTTAACGGCTACACCGATGAACTCGATGTCCTTCGTCTCGTTGATTTCATCCCAGCATGTCAAAAGCTTCCGTGCGATGCGATCCGCTTGCTTCACTGCACTATGCACGTCAACCATACCAACGGGTGGCCGGATGCCAACGGGAGGCACTCGCGAATTACCAGCAGTCTGACTATGACTCGATCAGCGCAGCTGAATAACCTCGGATGCGCGATGTGGGAGGCGTTGGAGATGGGTATGCCTGAGCCCACGCTGGAGCAGCGAGAAAAGCTGGCGCAGTGGCTGGCAGGTTTGGGCGCTGCGGCTGGGGGCCATCTCATTATTTCGGTTGCATGCAAGGTAATAATATTTCGCCCAGTTGTGCCGCAGTATCTACTGTGCGTCGAAATAGCTTTCTGCTATTTGTTCCACACTGGGTCACAACAGTCTCGCATTTAGCGGGGCTGACGGTCAACATTTTGGGTTTTCTTAATATAACTGTACTTCGCAAATGCGCCGGCGTGTATTGTGAAACAACGATGGTAAAGGGTAACAAATTGCGGAAAGCTGGTTACCCACTAAGCAGCATAAAAAGCACCGCTGTGTAGCACAAGGGTTTCTTTGAACATACAAAATTTAGAAAGCCTTAACTTCCGATTTTAGAAACTATTGACAGCTACTTAAGTAGACAGTGTTTAGGTTTTATGCTGCAAAACAGCCAAGGGCTTTTCCGCGAACCTTAATGCGGCGGAATAATATATTATGCACGCGTAAATAGTGTTTTGCCGCAACAAAATCGCGGCATAATAAACACTTCGAATGTTCTCCGTCGCTATCGTCTCTTGAGCGATATCATAAATGATGGCCTTCATTTACAGACGTTGTGTGCGATGCAGACAGCGGATCCGCGAAAGACGCTGCACTATCGTGGGAAACGGTGGTGCACTACGGCCTGCAGAATTTACAGCTAGAGAAGTTGTCCCGCGTTGCAGTACATGCCCTGATCCGGCTGGCGGAAATCGTTTCCGGATGACGGGGAATCGGAGCAGAAGACTTTTGCACAAAGTGCCGATGGGATTCTGTATTCCGTTGACCTACATTGTTCAGCTTTGGTAACATCGCGCCGAGTATTCTTGGCTGAACTGCCTGAATAGGCAGTACGCTTTATTTTAGCCAGCATCAGTAGGATTGATTATGCTTTTTCGAAACGTGTTGTACGTAGCCGTTTCCGTTACAGTTGATTGACGGTTGTCTGCATTCCACGTACTTTTGTAGAGTTATCTCACTACATATGATTATTATAATGCTACTACTGTGTTTTGTCTGCTTTCCGCAAACGAGTAACTTAATTAATAAATCTGCGGGTGACAATGCTGTGGTTTCGGGTTTTTGACACCGATATCGGCAGAAGTTTTTTCGATCTGACCGAACTGCAGGATGATGTTCCCGCATACGGGACCGCTCTCGCATCCAAGTTACATTTTACATTTTCACACTTGTGACCTGTGCATGTTCTTATAAACTTTTACCTGAGATCTTCAGATTTTAAAGTCTTTGATAAATACGAAGAAATTACTAGTACTATCATAAGAGATAAAACAACAACGGAAGTTAAAGGCATTCAAGCAATGGAAGAAACGGAACAACGTTTGGTGCAACAGATGTGGACAAGGTTGATGCAAGCTGTAGCAAGCTGAGTACAAGACTGAATTGTTTGGTTGTAAAGAAGGACTGTCAGCCGGTAAAATGGACGGAATTTCACAGCCAGATGGAGTGATCAATATAAATGGGTGGTGTTATCGGTTGTCTAAATACTACCGCTGTAATATCGCGATCACCACCATGAATAATGCATTGTAAAGCACTGGTGACCATATCTGAAGAATTCATCCCGATTCCAAATTAAAAGTCGATGATACAGTGCACGGTGCACCACATAAAAATGGAGCAGATGAAGAAAAGTAAGTACAAGATTCAATTAATGAAAGAGCTACATGAAGCGAATTAAAATCCAAAACATATCGTCCGCGAAGGAAAACATAACGCTGACCCAACTTTACCCCCACAAGATAGTGTCCAAAGTGCTCCCCTACAAACACTTTGAGCATGTGTAGTAGGGCTTCACGAAAGGTACGTTCCCGTCAACAATCGTATCCCAAAAGTATGTTTTCGCAGTTGCCTGAGCAGATGTAGAGTAATCCGCGACAATTTCTCCAACTGCAAACCTTCCAACCCATCCACACGGACACCACTCCTTCTCGCGGTAATGCGACGACGGACGCGGATCGCCCGACTGTGCCAGACACAGTATCTGCAAATTATAACCGAACTGAATGGTCATACAGTGCGAGGAAAACGTGTCGGCCGTTGTCTACCTTGCAGATGGCTTCTTCCATCGTTTCCTCTTTAATGGAAGCAGCGATTTTCAAACACTGCTGTTCACTAGGCATACGTAGCGCCCCCTCCAACGTTTCCCACAACGCGCAGTCGAAGCCATCATTCAGCTCTAATCGCGCGGTGCCGATGTTGAACTGGAACTTAGCGCCAAGATGAGTACCCTCCTCCGCGTAGAACAGCTTGATAGCCAGTGTAACTCGACAATTCGACATCTGGATGGCATCGCACGGCAGACTGCGGCACATGGCAATGAAATCCTCCAGCCAATCGTAGCCGCGTTCCGTGTCCAGCATTGACTGATCAGGATCATACGGATGCAGGCCGCATTCGTCCATGTCAGCGTAAACGATAGCACGGTCTTTGTTAATCAGCCAGTTAAGCCGGATGCCGTATAGGTGGACGGTCCGCAGTCGGATGCCGGTGTGGCGCTCAGCCACATACTGGATCATGTCGCCCACTTCCATCGCGTAGTCTTCGCTCCACGAACAATATCCTCCGTAAACATTTATCACCACGAGCTGCGTGCCGGGACTTAAGCATTTGTACACCGTCGCCAAGCAGAGAAAATCGGCCAGTTTACAACTGGGGTTACTGTTGCGGATGACAAGAGTGGCATGCAGCGCTGGTGCATCAAGGAGTCGGTTCCAGGTGGGGCACACCGTGGGCAGCTTTGTTTGCGTCAGTGTATCCTCGCAAGAAAAGACCTCCTGCCATATTTCGTTCGGTAGTGCATTCCATGCCACGACGTCCTCGTTTACCGCAATCTGCTTCTCTCGAAGAGACTTGATCGTTGTGAGCAACTCCCCGTGGAAGGCCTCGATTTTCTCCTGAAAACCATTCAGAACATTAGGGCTATAACTACGTCTCTACAAAAATAAAAACTTTGCCGTGGAGAAGTCAACAATATTAATTTTTCTTTTTACCAACAAGTTACTGCCGCTGACCAGAGCAGATTTGTCTTCCTGACCGAGCTTGCACATGTAATGCAACTGGCCATCCACTATGTCCACCACAACAACGGGCAGAGACTGGAAACAGGAGTAGATCTCCAAACGGCAGCCGTTCAGCCGTTGAATGAGCACTTGGGCATCTTCACCCGACAGCGACCGGAATTCTTCACCCAGGTCCACACTGCGCCGGATAAAGGCTCCTGGGGGAATCTCTTTGCATGTGATGGCGTCATTCTTCCTATTACGTAGTAGGCGCATGTGTTGCATGGGAACGATGTCGAAACACGGCAATCCGTCGTCCGGCCGCTGCCAGTTGACAACAGCCGCTCCGTACAGCGTCTTACTGCGTCCCACACACTGCATTTCTCCCGGCAGCCAAATCCACGGACCCGCTGGGGTCTCCGGCACCAGCACCTCCACCGAGATCGTTGACCGTTGTTGGTCTACCACTTGGGCATATAGTTCGTCCAGGTCCGTTGAGCACGTTGGACAATATGGAAAGAAGACGGTGCCGAAAGGCGCAAATTCACGTCGGCGAGTGGGACACAGCAGATCGACGATGAGACCATCTTGTGTCACGTCCACAATGTGTGCGACGCACATCCGCTGATCGCTGCCTCGAACGGATACGGCGGTGTCGAGATTCATTCCGCTGGGCATGACTGATGAAGTTTTGTGGTACTTTATCCAGAAACGTAGTTCGGCAGCCCGCAATGTCCACAACGGATTACACACAAGTTACACAACTCAGAAGCACCGAGATTTGTAGCCAAAACGAATTTTTATTCGGAAAAGGGAATTCGACTTGTTGGTGTATGTATGTATCATCAAATCTGTACCTGTCGCGGATCGACGCTTACTGAGCACTGAGCGGTATCAAACCGCGTCAGCCGTGGTGTTGCTGTCTTCTCTGTTAGCCACGAAAAGAGCTATAGTTAGAAAGCCGGCTTAATACTGTGTGTCCTATTGTTATTTCAAGCTATATAAAAATCTGAAACTTCCTTAAAACTTCCAAATCCTTTTGAATGTCCGGAATGAGGACTATCGGGGCGTGTCGATTCGGGTTGTCTGGCCCATACAGAATTCAACCAAAACCCTTGGTACACTCCCTTGTTTCGGTGAGCAATAACCGCTTGAAACGGAACGTGAACAAGTTCATAAGAACATCTAAATAATTCTTCTATGTAACAGTAAAAAATGGTGAGAGCCATAAAGCACTTGCCTGCGCTCCATTTCGACTTTCTCTGTATTCGTAAGTGTCATATTTCCTGTTGGCAGGATCTGCTAGACCGGTAAACTTTCTTGGGCGAGCCCAAATGGAGTTTCCGATGACAGTCTTACAGCATCGGCCAATCGCTACGATATGGTCTAAATCGCTATCATAAAGCTCCAACGGCAGTTCTTTGCCGTCCTCACGAGAGTTGACGGTTTTCGGCTTCATCTGTTCCATTACTGACGGCAGCGCTGGTGTTGCGGCCGGAAGGAAGGCCGGAGTTATGCGATGATGGGGGATTGAGGACGCAACGGTTATCGTCGCTTTCTCTGGTAGGATGCTTGGGTTTTAATCACAAACTTGGGAGAAAATGAATGCCAGGCGCGATAGAGCCTCTCCCACTGCAAATCTTCTTGACCGTAACGGCAGAATTTCTTCCTGCAAAAATGCCGCTTAATGTCACTTATGGATTTTGCTCTATAACCTTTATGGGTAGCATACGACTGCAATCAACATACACCGGTTAGCAGCTGTGGTCATAATTATCTTAAAAGTTATACAGTATCTGGTTGCTCTTTATGTTGACAGGAGCTCAGGACATTAGTTTTCCCTTTACAAACACTTTACGACAGCCTCCTTTTTAACGTTTCCAGGTATCGCATATTAATATAATCCCACAGCAACGATTGTGAGACGGCTACACCTTATTAACTCCTGTCTCCCTCGAAATTCGTTACCCACACGGATAGACTTGTCAAAATTCCTAATAATAATTAGTAGGAATTCTGAAAAGTCTATCCGTGTGGGTTACGAATTTCGAGGGCTTGGGCAAATTTCGTGGGCTTGAGCATTTAGAATTATTCTTAATGCCCAAGCTAATGAACCAATGCAGATCAAGTTTGGAAGATAAACCACAAGAAACTTTAACCGAGCACATTATAATGATTGTACTAGTACGCACGTATCTATTTGTACGAGTTCGAATAGATACGAGACACGAGTGACAAGTAAAACAAACCAGCAAATCAAAAAGAAAATCTATAGCAATCACAGAGTCGCAACTCACTCACAACTCGCAACATACTCACAATACGAAATTTCGGAAAATCAAGAACTTTGCCAGGCAAAATCACCAGCTATTACAATTTATAATTCAAGACCTGGAAATAAAGAAAACCTGATTTTTTAAGCTATTAAACCAGGTACACCCTGGTTGATCTTCATAACATAAGCACTATTAAAATCATGCAAGTAGCCACAGACTGGGCAGGGAATCGTCAAACGTCGGCGCATATTAAAAGCTTTCCGGCAACTGGACGAGAAAGTGCAGCGCAATACGCGACAACTTCTCCAATTGCAAATCGTGGAAGTACTCCACGCACCACTTCTTTCCACGGTAATGCAACAACGGACGCGGATCCGCTGTGTGTGCCGCACACAGGATCTGCAAACAAACTTCATTTCAGCTTCTTTTGAATACAGATGCGACTGGCATCGGAGTGCGTGCACGCAACACTTATTACAACGACGATTAAAAGTACAAGTAGCCCGTTGTACCTAACACGCAGCTCTCTTGTAGAATAATTTCTCTAACATCGGTTCGAGCATGTAGGCCTCCGGTCCAGCAACAATCCAGACGAGAAACATGGCCAGTCTTTGCAGTTGTTTTTCATTCGGCTGCGGAAGACTGCCTTCCATGGCTTCCCACAATGAGCACTCCAAAGCAGCATCGATTTTCAGCCAAACCATGGAGACACCGATACCCATTCCTCGCTGGAAAAATTCCAGCGAATTGCTTCCAGATAAGAAGAAAGTGCTGTTCACCAGCTGTATCGAATCGCACGGAAGACGACGACAAGCTTCCACGAAATCGCGCAGGTAATACATTTGCTCATCATGCAGTGTGTGTTGCTCGACTGTCGGCAAATGCACCACACAGCACTCATTCACGGTATCGCGAATGGTGCCGGGTAATACGTAACACCAGAAACCGATCAAGCACAGCACTGGCTTTCGATCTCCTGTAATTCGACCCTTCAGGTAATGCATCAACTGAGACAGTTTCAAGAAGTCGTTTCTCTTCAGCAATCGCCAGCGATCGCCCACAATGATCCGTCTTGTCGACGAGTGCAGGCACTTGAAAATGGGTGCCATCAGAAAGTAGTCCCCCTGCTCATTTTTAACGGTCTCAAAACCGATAATGCAGATGTTGTTGGTCAGTGTTGGCGAAATCAAGAGTTGGCTCCATGGGTAGCAGACAACACGCAGCTGGGTCTGCGTTAGTGTGTTGAGATGGGAGAACACTTCCAGCCACAATTCTGACGGCAGTGAATTGATATCATCCGCACTTTCAAAGTCCGCGGATAAGCGAAATCTTTTCTTCTAAAAAAAATGACTCCCAAACCATGAATCATCGAAGTAAAACGATATTTTTACCGGGATTTCGAAACGGATGACCAGCTTTGCTCCTCTTAACAGCATAGGCGGCAACCAATATTCAATAAAACGCATTTGTCCCTCCACAAGGCCCACGAACTCCACAGGACGATGGTTGGGCACGCAGTGGAATAGCTCCAACTCCTTGTCGAGTACCTTGCGCTGTTGTTCGGCAGACATTAAGCAGAATTCGCTTGGCAATTTCACAGTACGTTTTGCAAATGTCCATCTACCAACCCGATGTCCTCTCGACACACTATCATCCCCGTCTACTCGCTTGCGAACTCGCTCTGTGGGGACGATATCGCAGCGACCGTACTTATCGCCCCACAGAACTATCGCCACTTTGTAAATCACGCTGACTGTACTGTGGGACAAATTTACCATCTGACCGGAATACCAGGTCCACGGACCGGAATAGGTCTCCCGCATTAGAACATACACGGGGATAGTCGGCTGCGTCTTGGTGAAGTCATCGTCCGTCATTAACTGGTTATTTTCATGGTCGAATTCGTAGACACTGCTGTAAAATGGGACAAATCGGCGTCGTCCACTGGGGCAGAGGAAGTCGACAAAGAACCCGTTAGCAACCACATCCACCACGCGTCCGTAACGAACGAGACCCTGGTCAACAACAACATCGACGCTATTAACTTGGCGGATTCCGCTAGACATGGCTTAAAATTGGAAAAAAAGTGCACAATACAGGATCACGCCAAAGATTAAGTGCTTAGGCACCGTTTATTATGGTTATGAATGAACTGTGAAATTGCAAGTTTCAGACTGACGATGGTAATGAAAAGAATACTAGTAAGTAGTAAGTCAAAATGCCTTACTATTTACATAATGGCAAGAAATAGTCATTTTGCAGGTTTTTAGTAGGACTGTTTACATTGCCACAGCGGGCGGGTGCAGTTGTCTGAACAAGCTAGTGATGACTAACAACATTAACGGCATGATATTGACGCGGATGACGACCATTACCGCTTTGATAAGACTTCGTCCTAAAGAGTAAGGATTATAGTGTTAAAAGCGGAAAACCAGTCACACTGAATAATTCCAGAACAAGCAACAAAGGGTGGCACCTGAAAAAGCGATAGAGTTTCGGAATTGTGCATTGCGGTTTCGTGGGAGGACTTCATCTTGTCGTTGAGTTCCGAAAACCGGCATCATAAAGTTAATCTAAATTAGATTGTGCGTTAAAATAAAAAGTGAAAGGTCACGGCATCACGTCCTTTGCCAAAGCCTTTGGTGTAGGATCACAGCCATTCCTTTCCATAATTTCTTTTAAATGTTAACTGGTACAGTAATTCTGGGGAGATACGAGTCTAGTGGGAAACTCGTATTAATCAAAGATTTTTGTTGGCCATTTCATTTGAAGAATGGATGCGCCGGTAGTTTTCAACTCTAGTTATAACTCATAGTCTTGTCAGCTGATAAGGTTTTAGCACACTGTTTATTATAGTGTCCGACTTATAGTGTCCGAGTTTATTATAGTGTCCGAGCTATTAGCGTAATGGAAGGTGTAAAAGTGGTCACTAATGATAATGTTCTACAAGAAATCTTGCTGCTCTTACAGTTAGTTGCCGATTTGAAACCTAAAGAATCAGCCATCCGAAGGTGTGCTGTTGTCTGAACTGAATGTAATGCCATCACAGCATACAAATATAAAATGCGTATTGCGTACAAATAACTACAGAATACTCTACTCTAGTGAACACTGAACAGCAACTGTAAGTGTTCAAGTGATCAATCAACAGCTCGAGATGCCGCAGACATTACTGAGAGTAGTTTACGTACCCGATTAAATCAGATCAATATCAATATACACAGTACAGGTTTCTGTGGTAAGCGCACTAGCCCAGATGTCAATGGTCGCACCGGCACTGACCAACACCACAATGCACCAGTCCCGGCCGCTGTGGATTATCCCGAATTCCAGGAAGACCCACCTGGACAGATAACTGGAAATAATTCCTTGCTGTATTTGTCCGACCCATCGGACGATTACTGGTCGCTTTCTAGATCTGTGGGTACCATCCAAACTGGGGGGATCATACGTCGCCTGTGCGATAACAATAACGACACGGCTTGTAACACTTACTGTCAAGAAAAACACCGAGACGGCAATGGTATATGCGCTGGATCACCGGCGAAGTGTTTGTGCCACAGCCCATAACCTCATGAAAAGGAAAAGATAACCGAGCGCCAGAAACGGAACCGGTTAGGGCCTTTTTACTGTTCTTAGACGGTCTTTGCGCTGTTTTCTTATAATACAGTATGCGCGTGGACTGTTTACGGTTAAATGCGAAATTTCTAATTTAAATAGCGAGATGGTTTATTATACATGTTCATTGGTGCGTTACAGGTCGTTATAGCAAGCACCTGATATATGATAATAATTTTCGGCGTTATGCTATTTTCAGCATCAACATTTATCATTTTTACAATAAAATTTCAGTTCTGAACGTAATAATTAATTTTGCTAGTGTACTCTCGTGTGAAATTTCGGAAATAAAGAGATGGTAGTCTTATGCGACGTGCGTTAACCCTTGCGACACACCCGGACGCAAACAAAATTCGCCATTTCCGATTTCGCTTTGAAGAAGGAACACGAATATTTTCAAAAATCATTAAACTGGTTTATTTCTGTTTCTAGACTGCCCGTAAAGGTTGTGAGCAAGCCAGTCACAAGTAAGAGATAAAAACAATTTTTCATTAGATGAAGAACATGATCACGCTAACAATCGCCGGAAAGACAAGTAAAAAAAAATCGATAAAAACAACGATAGATTTTGGTGGTTATGTGCAGGTAGAACGATTGCGCCAACAAGTCCGTTTAGGAGGGCGGTGTGCGGCGGAATAATTTGTAGGTGTCCTTCTGGAACATGTAGCCCAATCCGGATGCCAGCGTGCTGGCGGCCACAATGTACCTGTAATAAACACTGTTCAGCCCAGGTAAACATGTCACTCGTTCACGGGAAAAAAATTAAAATACGAAAACCATAAATCGGGCATCTTCGAATAAAATCAACAGTAAAGCCGATGAACGAAACACCAGGAACTGTGATTAGTAAAACAATTAAATTACTCATGATTAATAAACAATTCTTTAATGTTAATAAGACGAATAAGTGATCTTCATGAAATTATTTAATGTTGATAAAACTAATATTAAAGCGATCTTCATAATAATAAAAACAATAAGAAAACAGTAAAAACAAATAACAAAAGCAATAAGAAAACCTTAAAACAATATTAATCAACTAAATTTACCAAGAAAAATAAGGAATATTTTTTAATATCTGCATTCTATTATTGCCTCTTCGCATGATTTTTTATTTATCGTGTTTCAAAGTTTTGAATGCGCTACAAAGAAATTGATCGTTCACGATCCCAGGAAACTCGTACTGAATAATGTTTCCAATAAGTTATAAATTTACACTAAAATAACAAGCTGCAGAGCCGACGTACCATAAACCGTGCAAAACCGGATGATCGACGTAATTGAAAACTGGTGCGGCTAAAGTGACGACAACCAGGAGCAGCTGCAATCCGGTGTTGTACTGCAGGAACGAAACAAAAGTTTCAGCTGATGTTAGAATTTTCACAATTAGGTACTTCTTTATAAATACCTTGCTGATAGTCGTGGGTGACAAATTGGCCGATGCGTATGTCGCATCAAAATATTTGGACAGGGTAACCTGCAATAAACGAATAAACCGTGAATTTTGCGAAAACAATATCGAATTATTAAAGTTTTTAGGCAATAAATACCTACAAATATTATAATCTGATATTTTTTCGCAGAATTATTGTCACACGTGGACTATGCAAAATTACTTGGAAAAATTACGTAAAAAAGATAAAATATATACAAAGCAGAAAATAAAGCAGTATAAAAAAAACTGTATAAAATTTGTACTAAAGTTTTTGTTCCTAACAAAATTAATCAAAACCAAAAATCACACAAAAAAGACGCGCTAACTTGCACAACAATTGCAAAATTTACAGCACAATTCAAGACACCATAGTACTTTATCGAAACCAAAGCAAACGCAAAAATACCTAATGAAAATAAAGACCAAATGCTATTTATGTTCATGTGCAGTTGATCACTCACCGGTGGTGGTAGGGAACGGAAGCGCACCACACTGGCAGCCGCCACTAAGCAGATATCCCGAAAGACGATCAGTGCCGTCAAGGGAACTGCAAAACAATTCCCGATAAATATTTTTCAGCTATGCGCTCTTGTCTCGCTGTGAAGAAAATGACAACAAAAACCTACAGTACGGTTAAGAAAACAAAGGCATTAATTAAACACTACAATATTCATATTAACGTAAAAAATGATCATTAAATTTATAAGGAATAAACATTCTGATGAAACACAGAAATCTGGGTTTTTGGCGATTCTAACACGTCATGACTACGTTTCGGACCGGTTTCGGGTAAATAAAATAGACCAAAAATAAGTATTTATCAGCCTGAAGTTCTTTCCCATAATTTTTTAACTTGAAAAATTCCCCCGACAAATACTGCCAACAAAATTCAAAATAAAACAAAATAAACAATAGTTACACTATTATCAATATAAATAAACATATTTAGTAAACGCCGTAATATTGTTGTATCTGTAAGAAGAGCCGTTGTAATGTCTAACCGGGAATAAGGTGCACCGCTGTCAGTGTTAGGAAGAGCGTGGTGATTAACAATTTATCGGCGAGTGGATCGAGAAAACTCCCGATCATGGACCGCTGACTGGGAAAATGACGCGCAATAAAACCATCCAGCTATGAACACAATAAAATGCACATTTCCACGTTACGCGATACACTAATAAAAATAAAAACGGGAGGTAACCACAAAAAAAATTTAATACGGAATGCCTGCTGTAATTTGGCATTCAGTGCATACTTATATATGTACTGTACATACTCGTAAGTACCAGGAGAACAGCCAAATACAACTAAAACTGGAAAGGACTGAAGGGCGTTAAGCCCACATTCTACGATTTTACTCTGAAGCAGCAAGAAAATTGTGACATACTGGCTTCACCTTCAGATTACACAAAAATGGCATATATACGACAACTACGATGAACAACCGAAAAAAAACTGTTTAAATGCACATGAAACTTATTCTGAAAATAACAACGGTTTACCTATTACTTCCCGAAGAAGTTGAACCATTTCAAACCGCTTAAATATAAAAAATTACACATAAAATAAAAAAACAAATACATTATGTGAATAAAATGAATAAATAAAATATGTACTTATATGTACATACATACGAATACTGTAATTACAAACGCCAAACAATGAACACGTCGTTCAAGCCATAAAAAAATGGACAAACTAGAAAACAATTCCAGTAATGGCTCAGAAAGAACAAACACACTTACCAGATCCGTTGCTCCCGCCACGGCAGCCGTCCCACAAGCCCACGAGAAATTCCCGTTGAGAATAAAATATCCAATCACCGGCGTCAGACCGATGCGTGCGACGCACAGCAGGTTGGGAATCGTCACAATGTTTTCCTTCTACAAATAAATCTATTCTCCAACAAGAATATTTTTCTCCTAATTTCTCTGTATTTGATCTATACTGGTGCCACGCACAAATGTTTTCTTTCTTCGATACGAAAACAGGCAAGTTAATGTTAATCCTGTTGAAAATTACCTAAAGCGTTCGATGGAAATTGGAAAATACAATTTTGTAATGAAGCTTAGAAAATCCAATCCATTCCAATTCTTATCCTATCAAATTCTTATTGTTGCTTAAAATTTCAACTGAAAAATAAAAGAATCACGAAAATTAATTTGTTAGATCCATGAGAAATCAAGTGAGTATTAATTATTACGACCATGTCTTAAAAAGTAAAACGTGTTAAAAAAATAGGAGTAAGAAAAATCACTGAAAATAATTATAAAAATTATTTATACAAATTGAACCAAAAATAAGAAGGACGAAAACATGAGATAAAATATGAAAAATTAGAAATTTAAATGTAAACTTTAAAAAAAGAGAGATTAAACTCATTAAAGAAATTTAATTTTTTTAATTTCAATTTGTTTTTGTTTATACTGTCATTAGTATTGTGTTGTATCGCTGATAAAAACGTCAAAAATAAACGCGCCATGCTTGAGAAAAATACAGAATACTAAAAGGTTTCTGTTGCACAAACGGATGATAAACTCACGGACGTACAAAAGGCGCCGTCATGCTCTTGACGCGATCGAGAACCTCCGCGCGTTTAGCTGTGAAACGCTGTCGTGTATCTGTCATTCTGGCGCGGAGCTCAGCCCGATTCCGCCAGGAACGCGTGCGATAGGAGGCGCTGGACCCAGGAAACACAGCGAGGATAACGCAGGGATCACGAGGATACCAGGGCGTCCCGGGGAAGACCGGATGGCAGCGGAATAAACCACGGGAAATTACCAATCCGGAATGCACCCGATGCATCGTGCATCCACGGTCTCCTATCATCAAAAGCGCCAGGAGCGTCGATCGGGCTTCCACTGATTACGGGGTGGGATTAGCTATACAGCACAACCCGTCATACCCACGCTGCACGGGCAAATTTCACGGCTTAAATCGCATTTTACGTTTACCAATTTGCATACAGCAAATTTTCACTTAATTCAGGCTATTTCTCCACCAAAATTTTTTTTATCATAAAAACTCGAAAATCGTTCTGCGCTCCACCTGCAAATATATTCTCCATCAGTCCCCATGCTAAACACAAACCACCCCCCCCCCGCCGCAGGGGCACCCCAAAAACCACAACAAACCAACATGGCAAATCAGAGCTCTAATTTGTATACATTACTTTTAGCCTTCTGTAACACACTTTTTAACTGATTTTTAATTTTAGATATTATTAATTAGTTGTAAAATGTTTATTTACTCCGAAATATGAATGTTGCCCAAAGAACTCCGAATTTTTGCGCTGGTGAAGTATCGTGAATTTTGCCCGTGCAGCGTGGGTATATCAATGTGCATTTTTCCGGTAAACCAACTCTGTGGTCTAACTTGATAACGCCGCTACAGTAACCGATTTCAACGAAACGAACAGTGACGAGTGAATTTAATTGGAAATCAGAAATATTTTTTATGGTGAATGAGGTGAATCAATACTGATTATGTACTGCAATCTGCATCAAATGCGCTTTCCTAGCACGGTACACAAAATTTATTTGGCTGCCGCCAGTTGGGGGATGTCGCAGCGACAAACCATTTTTCCCCGATTCTAGTGTCTTCCACCACGATGTGATAGCTACCCAAGTGGAAAATTAAGTAACAGAAGCCAGAAGGCTCCAACAGAAGCCAGAATGGGCAGCTGAAGCAAAAATTAAGTTTTCGAAAAATTGTTTTCGAACTTCAGTCTTCACGGCGCATGTGTTGTTTATCCCATGGTATTTCTTTCATAACTGTTCATCCTATCGACAATGTGGCATGAAGGCGAAGTCTACCGCCCCAACAGTGTGGATGTTTTGGGCGACGACGGCCTGCTTCGTTACGGACGAGTTGTCGGTATCGCTGACAGCGGACTTTTCATCGACTTTTAAGCCCCAGTCGACGGTGGAGCTGATTCCCTTCGACAGCATCTACCTGCCCGCTGCGACGAAGCCTCTACAGACTCACGGCAGCGATCAGCCTCAGATTTTCGCTGCCGCCACGATCGCTGTGGAAGTGTTAGTACGGGAAACTGCCTCGGGTCCCTGGATATGGATCCCGGGTGAAATGCGCAGCCTGGTGGACTACGAAGTCCCCAGTTCGTACGGTATGGCAGTGGTCCAATGGTGGAATAAAATTAAGTGCCAGGATATTGTTCCCGTGGAGCGCATCCGCTGGAGGACCCCCGGTCCGGGGGGATGGTGGGGCGCGGTGGGTCGACCGGTTCCTCCGCAGTTCGTATCCCTTCTCGCAAAAAAGTGTGTGAAGATGTTTGAGGGTGCCGTAATTACTCAGCCTGTAGCCGTAACCAGAGGGGCTTTTTTTATCTGCAGTTTTGCGTTGCCCGAAGGCTTCGAATGCTCTGTTGTGAAAAGTAATCTGCAGTCTGTAAACTGTCTACTGTCCTCCGACTGCATGCCTTTTTGTTGTATCGACATGGCGTATGGACGGTTGTGGCGTATACAACGTCGATCGTTGGGCGGTGAATATGATACCCCGGAGGCCCATGATATTCGTGTGAATGTAAGATGTGGGTGATGATACATGTCGTAAATTGCTGTTCACAACTTGCAGATTTGGTTACAAATACTTCGAACAGAACTTATAGCTTCCCTGTCATGTATTATGGGAAACAAACTAAAGAAATCGCTTCTAGATTCCCAAACGGTCAGTTCGGTAATTATTTCTTTTTGCCCAGGAATTACTGCAGTCACTGCGGTCGCGTTACCCCAGCAGATGGACGCTAAATACACCAATGCAGATCGACAGTTCGGAGTCTTCCGCAACGTGGGTGGGCGAATTCCCTGCACTCTCAGTGGAACTTTGGCTGGAAGTGTTCTCCCACCTAGACACTCGGGAGCAGAACAGATTCCGTGTGGTCTGCTCAGCATGGAACTGCATTCTAACTACGCCGATTTTGACAGCCAGCATTGTGCTGGTAACAGGTGACTGCGGCATGTCGGAACTACTGGGATCGGACGACATTGGCATAACGTTCGACATCTCGAGTATACTTGTCCGTTGGCTGTCGTCGACGGTCTTCCATAGTCTTCGCCCATCCACGAAGCACATTATTTTGTCTGACCGGCAGCGAATGCTGTACACGAGCGATTTGTTAAACGTGGTGGATGTGATGAACTACGTGGGAAAACATAACACCGGCATCCGGTTTTCGGCGATCTACTAGTATGCGATTTCTCCGCTGTGCTGTGTTGTGTCTCTTTTCATCTATGGCTGCCGGAGCTAAGTTCTGCTCACGCCGCCTTTATCGCATTTCTGGGAGACGGTTCAGCTGCAGTTGGGCGCTGCTTTCGGATGTGCGCTGTATGATGTACTGGAAGCGAGTTTGTCGGTGCCGGACGAGATGCAGCTGGGGAAGTTGTCCAACTGGCTGAAGGCGGCCATGCATGATGGGAGCGTCGACAATGATAAACTTTGCCAGGTGAATCTGCGATTCTACTGCAGTATCAAATCTCAGTTTATATATTTTCACCCTTTTATTGTCATATTGGTTGGTACAAGATATTCGATAGTTCAAAGTTTCACGCAGATAACCAAAACAAATATCATTTAGCAATAAAGCAACATTTTGGCGCCGCAAAAGAAGTCATCTGCATCATTGCATGAACATCAGAAAGGGGTGAAAAATGTGCAAATTCTAGATGATGCCAAATCCAAAAGTCTTAGCTTAGCGGATTTGTTGTTAACGCCCAAAGTATGGAAAACAGGCTAAATGCTTCTGCTCTGTGGTGGTGGTATAAATTTCGTCATTAAAATTAGTAAGGTAGTACAAATTGCCTTATTTTCTTTATTTGCAGTATTACAACGGAAGGCTGATGATGGGCCTCCGTTTACAGTGGATTGGCTACACGCCGCGCCACGACGCACAATTACCGAAAGTGGTGGTCAAAGATGCAGACGTTACACAGTTTAGGGAATTACAGGAATCAGGAAGACGAAAGGTCATTCCGAACGAACGATCGAACGAACGAAAGAAAGAAAGCTTTCACATCGAAGTTTATTAGCAATTGAAGAAGTCCGGGTGGCCGCGAAGCAGCACCGTGCCCGACTGATTTCCGTAAACTGATTCTCATCTCCACAGAAGCTAGAAATTCGGAACACAGACCGCCCACAGGCTGCCGATTACATCATCGGCTTTATCACTGACCAATCAAATAAAACATAATTATTTGAATTCATAACACTCTTGCTATAGTATGTTGGTAAACCTCATAATTTTCCGGTTGGAGTGGACGAATTGCTGTACATAACGGATTATGTCCCTTGCAGGTTCTGTGTCCGACGCAGACAACTGATCCTCGACCGGCGTCCAACTTCCGCGGGAAGAAGTGGTGCGTTGATGGGATGAAAGACGTACAGTTGGCAAAATTATCTCCTTTTGCGCTGTATTTTCTTCTGCCACTGATACTTCCCCTGGTTCAGTGATGTTTACTGTGTGAGGACATGCTGGCCGCCGACACACTGGCATCTTGCATTGCTCGTATGCAAATTATTTTTATAACATTTTCAGGGTTTGGTAAATTGCATTCAGCTAGATTTTTTGCTTCATTTTTTCGCATTTGTGATACTTTTCCGATAAGGTCCACCGATTGTGAATCATTTAAATAAATATTTTACTCCATACTGTACTTATCCGGTAGTAGTATCACTACTACGGACAGTAGCCATCGGCATCGAAATACGTATGCAACAAAAAGTGCAAGCGCGTGCACACCAAAACATTCAAAATTATTTAAGAAACAGCTCATCAGCTGACATACGAGTACTTTAGAGATGTATGTCGTACAGTACTTTATAGCTGAAAAGTTGCGCTACGGACGCGTGGTGGATGTCGCTGACACCGGGCTCTTCATCGACTTTTTCTGTCCCAACCGCCGACGGGAATTAACTCCCTTCGGTAGTATTTACCTTCCCACTGCCGTGAGACCGCTGGATCTGGATAAAATTGAGGAACTTCATACTGGGTCCGTGGAGGTGCTGATCCGTGAAGCTCCCCGCGGTCCTTGGATGTGGGTCCCCGCTGAAGCCAACATTCTGGTCAGCCACGAACATCTGCGCATGTACGGTATGGTGGCTGTCTCCTGGTGGAATAAAATGGAGCGGCGCGACATTCTGCCCCTGGAACGCTTACGCTGGAGGTACGCGCGACCCTCTGGATTTTGGGGCGTTTTTGGGGCAGTTCGTATCCCGTCTCATGGGCCGTTTTATGGGGAATCTGGAGAATAGTGTGTCTCAACCCGTGGCTGTGGAAAAGGGAATGTTTTCCAGGTGGAGCGTGCAATTACCGGAAGAATACGAGCACGCAGAAGTCTGGAACGACCATACACGCTTGAATTTTAAACTGATGTTTTCCCGCAGACCCTTCTGTTGTGTGGGTATTGTGGATGGACGTTTGTCGTTTATCGAACGCCGCTCATCAGCTGACCAAGGGGCGTCCGTAGCGAAATTCCGGGCGTTGCATTTGCCGGAAACTCTGGTGAGATTCTTTAAAATACAGTCTTCCAATACTTCTATCCGTTGCAGGGAGAAAAAATTGGCAGGTTTTCTGATTTTTTGCTAATGTGCCGGACACTCATGGATAAAGTTTTCTTCGCTTGATTTGTGCTTTATCCGTAATATTCACACTTATTTGGCAGCATAGTCATGCGTTTCTGGATGAAATGCAACCACAATACCGACGTAAGCTGATAGTGATTCCACCCGAGCATACCGCCAGTCCAGCGGATGCTTTCCGTGCGCTACCGCGGGAATTGTGGATGGAAGTGCTGTCCCACCTGGACACACGGGAGCAGAACCGACTGCGCGCGGTGTGCTCAGCATGGGACGGCATCGTGGATACGCTGACGGGCAACATTGTACTGTGGATGGGAAACTGGGGTACGTCGCACGTTTCACCTGTTTTCATCAATTTGTATCTGTTAACAAGTTTGGCCAGGAACTGAGGGCTTGAAACGGTAAAGGTACAGGAAGTGCGCACTAAGCGCAATATTGGCATCAGAACGATGCCACTACACTAGCGTTATCATCGATTTTATGCAGTACCTGCAATATTAATGCAACTGCTGCTGTAAGTTTACTAGGAGTAAAACATCACCGAAGTTATGATAAATATGGATATATAATATCTGACGTGCACCAGCCATGACTAATTCATAGTCAGGCAAAAACAATTGCCGTGGCCCGCCGCGGTATGGAGGTTGTAACCCATGAACGTGCGCTCTTCGCTGTCTTTATGAGTGCAACATACTTACATAGTGTAAGTATGTTGCGCTCTCTTTATGCCGCCAATTATACGCCCACAATTTCTCGACAAGCTTGTACATTGCTGTACTGACAACAACAGAATTTCTCCATCAGGTGACCATGCTCGTACTATTCACCACGGCATGATGTCGACGGTCTTCAACTGTCTGAGCCCATCAACGAAATACATTTTCCTGGCCGGTCGACATTCAGCAGTGAACGTGGAGGATGTCTTTAAGGTGATGGACGTGATCGACTACGTTAGCAGGTGTGATACCGGAACGTGGTCCGGGATCCGCTTCACAGCCATCTAGCTGGTGGATTTCCCGTGTTTTCTGTCACTGGGCAAGCTGGCAGCGGACGGTGGACAGTGCGCTGTGCATCAGCCGGACGAATTCATGCTGCGCCCCGTCAAACGCTTCTGTAACATCGAAAGCTTCCTCAGTGAATTCATGAAGATCTGCGGCGCTCTGCCGTGCGATAGCCTCCGGCTGGTCCGCTGTCCGTTCACTCTGTCTGCTCGAGTTAACGAAAATCGCCTCTTCCTGACATCTGCACAGTCGCTGCTTTCGATGACGTGCCGGTTAACGTTGGGTGAGGGTTTCGGCTGCGCGCTGTGGAATGCGGTGGACGGAAAATTGCCCGCGCCGGACGAACAACAAATGAAAAAGCTGTCCCGATGGTTGGCTGTAGGCAAGAATAAGAAGCATAGGAAAACCGTGCGTCAGGTAATAATCCGATATTGTGCATGTATTTTCTTGATTTTTCATTACTTGTAACATGAGTAGTCCCTATTGCCAAAATATCGAAATGCGAAGACCTTTTTTTGCAGATTTTATGTGCGACACAAACCTCTGATCCGCGATCGTCGTCCAACTTCCGCGGGAAGAAGTGGTGCGTTAATGGGATGGGAAATGTGCCGTTGGAGCAACTTTCCCGTATCGCGCTGCATTTTCTTCTGCAGCTGTCGGATGCGTCAGCTCGGTGATCCGCAACCCGGTGTTGACTAGCCGGGTGCACTTTGCATTTTACTGTAAGGGATACCATTGTAACATTTTTGGGAATAATTCTGATAAATTGAATTTGGTTAGATTTGTTGCATTATTTGTTTTCTCGTTTGTCGGCATTCGTTTCGGATGTTTTTTTATCGTGTGTGCCATGCAAATTAACTTGGTAAAGTCCTTATTGTATATTGTAAAATCCGTTTTCATACTAAGCTTCTTGTTTTTGGTAGTACTCCGTACTCGTACTATTTAGATACTTCATAATAACAACGTACTAAACGTAGCAACGAAGCACACGTTTCGGATATTAATAAATTTATTGATAATTAAGAATGTGGCACTTTGAGGGGTCATCGACGTAGAGAGTGTGTTTGTAAATTGATGTTTGGTTTGCCCCGAACGGTAGAAAGTTGGGGAAGTTGTTCCAATGGTTGAAGACGGCCACTAATAACAGCACCATACGCCGGGTAAATTTCCACGCTGTTTTGCCGTATTGCATTTAAATCTGCACATTTTGCAGATGAACTTAACGAAGCAAACTGCGTTAACTCATCGTGTCGTCTGCAGGTTCTGTGTGCGACACACATCGTTCGCTGATCGGCGACGGTCATCGGCCTACCGCAGGTAGAAGTGGTGCGTTGATGGACTGCAAATGTGCAGCTGGCACAATTGTCTCGCATCGCGTTGCAGCCAGTGCCAGCCACTGATATGTGTCCCCTGGTTCAGTGATGTGTTTTTGCGTTTGGACGTGCTGGCCGTCGACACACGGGCATCTTGGATTTCTCGTATGGAAATTAAATTAATATTATTGCAACATTTTTGGTATTTGGTAAATTGCGTTCGGCTAAATTTTTTTCCTTGTTTTTTCGTATTTATCTGCTATCTTCTCCGCTAAGGTCCAACGACTGTCAAAGCACCGAGGAAAATCACTCATGCACCATTAAATTTAATTAAATATTGGGCTTTGCTGTAAGTACTTATCGGGTGTTGTCAGTCTGTCAATACTTTTGACCGTAGAGTCGCCATGGGCATAAAAATACCGTTTGTAACAAGAAGTGCACACAACTTGACAGTCAAAAGTTAAACGATGCTCCTGCAGATACATCTCATCAGCTGACTTACAGTACTTATTACAGATACTTCACGGCTGAAAAGTCGCTACGGAAGGCCATGGTGAAACACTTGTTGAGAGTTGGAAAGAAAAGTCAAAAGCTGGCACTCACAACGGTATAGTACGGTCTGCCCACCACCACGGTGTGTTGGCTGCAAAGCAAAAGCAGTCTGACTGCGAACGAGCGAAAGAGAAAATTCCCATTGGCTGGATTAAGAAATTTCGTTACTTACTGAAATTTTCGTTTCGACTTCTGAGACATATGTGCAGGAACTAGAAATCGTTAAACGTTCTTTCTCAGCTAATACAGCATCTTTGTACGGAGAGCAACCGATTATCGACTGCCATGCAGTGGAACGATATGACCGTGATCTACCAGCCCAATAGTGTGGACGTCTTAGGGGATGACGGCGTCCTGCGCTACGGACGCGTGGTGGATGTCGCTGACACCGGGCTCTTCATCGACTTTTTCTGTCCCAACCGCCGACGGGAATTAATTCCCTTCGGTGGTGTTTACCTTCCCACTGCTCTGGAACCTCTGGATCTTGATAAAATCAACGAACCCCATGCTGGTACTGTGGAGGTGCTGATTCGCGAAGCCCCCCGCGGTCCGTGGATGTGGGTCCCGGCTGAAGTCGACATTCTGGCCAGCCACGAGGATCTGCGCATGTACGGAATGGTGGCTGTCTCCTGGTGGAAGAAAACGGAGCACCGCGACATTCTGCCTGTGCAACGCTTACGTAGGAGGTACGCGCGACCCTGTGGGTGGTGGAGCGCTGTGGGTCGCTCTGCTGTTTGGCAGTTTGCAACCCGTCTCATCGGCCGTTTTATGGGGAATCTGGAGGGCGGTGCGTCTCAACCCGTGGTCGTGGCAAAAGGCATGTTTTCCAAGTGGAGCGTGCCATTACCGGAGGGATACGAGCATGCAGAAGTCTGGAACGATCTTAAACGCTTGAATTTTAAACTGATGTTTTCCTACGAACGCTTCTGCTGTGTGGGCATTGCGGATGGACGTTTGTTGTTTATCGAACGCCGATTATCAGCTGAAGAGACGACATCCGTAACGGAAGCCCGGGATTTGCGTTTGCGGGAAACTCTGGTAAAATTCGTTCGTTTCCAGTATCGCATTATTGAGAAAAAATTGGCAGATTTTCTGATTTTTTGCTAGCGGCCAAAAACTCTGGGATGAAGTTTGTTTGCTTGAGTTTTGCTTTGTCCGTAATATTTGCACTTATTTGCAGCATGATCACGCGTTCCTGGATGAACTGCAACTAGATTACCGACATCAGCCGACAGGGAATCCATCCGCGCATATCGACAGTCCAGCGGATGCTTTCAGTGCGCTACCGCGGGAATTGTGGCTGGAAGTGTTGTCCCATCTAGACACTCGCGAGCAGAACCGACTGCGTGCGGTGTGCTCGGCATGGGACGGCATAGCGGATGCGCTGGCGGCCAGCGTTGTGCTGTGGATGGGAAACCTGGGTACGTCGCAAGTTTCGCCTTTTTAGTCACGTTTCGCTGTTTGTATCTGTTTACAAGCATGTTGAGGAACTGAGGGCGTAAAGGTACAAAACGTGTGCACTAAGCGTAATACGTGTATTGGCATAAGAACGATGGCCACTACACTACAATTTTCGCGATGATAAATACTTTATTGCCACTTCTGCAGTATATTGCCACTTCTGCAGTGACTAAAAAGGCGAAACTTGCGACGTACCCTGGTTCTGATGTACAGTGCACGGCAAAAAGAAGTTGACGAGGCGCGACCGCACACTGGCCGGTCGATTTCAACTTCTTTTTGTCGTCCATTGTAAGTATGTAACGAGTAAAAACAGCAAAAAACATGATAAAATGTGGATATTTGAATGTTTGACGTGCACCAGACATGCCTAATTCGTGTAACGCGTAAACAGTGTGGCGTGGCCCGCCCGGCGTGGTATGGAGGTTGGCGTAACCCATAAACGTGCATTCTTCACTGTCTTTGTGCCCCCACAATTTCTCGACAAGCTGGTACATAGCTGTACTGGCAATTACGCAATTTTCACATCAGGTGACAATGCTCGTACACTTCAAGGCATGATGTCGACGGTCTTCAACTGTCTGCGCCCATCGACGAAACATATTATTTTGCCCGGTCGACAGTCGGCACTGAAAATGGCATAAGAACGATGGTCACTACACTACAGTTTTCGCGATAATAAATACTTTATTACAACTTCCGCAATATAATTTGAGCTTGACGTGCATGTGATGGATGCGATCGACTACGTCAGCAAATGTGACACCGGAACGTGGTCCGCAATCCGCTTGGCAGTCATCTATCTGGTGCATTTCCGTGTTTTCTGTAACGGGGCAATCTGGCGTCGGCCGGTGGCCGGTGCGCTGTGCATGAGCCTGACGAATTCATGCTGCGCCCCGTTAAACGTTTCTTTAACATCGAGAGCTCCCTCTGTGAATTCATCAAGATCTGTGGCGCTCTGCCGTGCGATAGCCTCCGACTGGTCCGCTGTCCGTTCATCCTGTCTGTCCGAGTTAACGGGAATCGCCTTTTCCTGACCTCTGCCGAGACGCCGCTCATGGTAACGTCCCGGCTGCAGTTGGGCGATGATTTTCACTGTGCGCTGTGGGATGCGTTGGACAAGAATTTGACTGTGCCGGACGAGCAACAAGTGAAAAAACTGTCTTGGTGGTTGTCTGCGGGCAAGAATAAAAAGCACAAGAAAACCGTGCGTCAGGTAACAATTCTCATTTTTTTAAATATTTGTAACACGACTAATCCGTATTGCGGCAATGCCGGGAATGCGAAGACGTCGGAGTGTGCAGATGTTATGTACGACACAAACCGCTGATCCGCGCCCGTCGTCCAACTTCCGCGGGAAAGAAGTGGTGCTGCGATGGGATGAGAAGCGTGCCGTTGGAACAACTTTCCCGTATCGCTCTGCATTTTCTTCTGCAGCTGTCCGATCCGTCGGCGCAGTGATGCTGTGGCAATTCATGCCGCTATTTGCTAGCCGGGTGCACTTTGCATGCATTTCACCATAAAGAACACCATTGTGGTATTTTTTGGATTAATAATTCTGATAAACTAAACTGAATGTGATTTGATTTGTTGCATAATTTGGCTTCTCGTTTTGTCGGCTATCGTTTCAGGTGTTTTTTATCATGTGTGCCATGCAAATTACCGTAATTTGGTATAGTCTGTAATTTGGCTTTATTATGCAAAATCCGTTTTCTTGTTAATCTTGTTTTGGTAGTACTCGTACTATTTAGATACTTAATAATAACAACTTACAAAAACAAAGCACGCGTTTCGGAACTTGTTAAGTAATCGATAATAAGTAATAATGTGGCATTTTGAGGGGTCATCGAGGTAGATAGTCTGTTAGTGTAATCTGCCATTTGTCGCTGACTTATTCCGCGCAACTCGCGGGATCTTCTAGAAAACAGAAATCACTTATTTTCAGTTTTAAGTCTGTCGAGTAATAAATGGGAGTGAACCGCTCGGGACAGTGGGAGTTTCTAATGGTTCTAGAAAAACTTTACGCAAGAATTGCGCATACACCGCTTAGCCCGCATACACAGTTTAGAATCGAAAAGCAGATGCATTTTAACGCGCACGAGCACTGAATATTAAACTTTGACGCCTATCGAGACATCGAGTAGTATCGACTATCGAGGCGTATTTCGGTTCAGAGTTTACTGCGTAAGCATGCATGGTTATGCGCATTGTAATTTGTATGTACCCGCGTTGCATTAGTATAAGAATTCATTTATGGCGAGTTATCGAACGTTAACCGTACGATACGGCAACAACCCATGAGTAATCACGAATGATGCATAGAAAAAACATCCAATAACGCGATAACGAAGCAACCGTTGCAGCTGCGATATTTGAGCGCCCCAACTTACGGTAAATTATACGTATCATGCGGTACGGGGAGCACTGTATAAGGAACGCGAAACGAAAATTAGAAAATTTTACGACTTAATTAATTTGTATGGCAGGTGAACAACGTGTTGTACTTTACTATGCGATATCACAATAGCAAAATATCCACATGACAATTTATGCAAATTAGCACTGAAATTAATCAATTTGTTTGTCTAATTAGATTGATTTCAGATTTCAGACTTAATTGTTGCCAAATAAAGAAGTCGCTCTGCTGGGGCTCCAATTAATAAATGAAGATTCATAATAATGGCAGAGGTTATTTTCAATATTAATTCTGATATTCCATAAATGAACTGCGTGTGCGACCTAAAACAACTGCAGATTGCATGGATAAGTCAACGATGCCGAATCGTAAATCTAGTCGAGACTAGATTTACCATACGGCAGACTTATGCAACGTTGCCTTAAAGTGGGCATGTGTTTACGGTTCCGTGCATCCAATCCATGGACGCAGCCTTATCTCGCAATGACACATGCAGATAACTCACACATGTCGAACCGTTCGACATGACGATGAATTTGTGTTTTGAATTCTTATAGTGTTTGTGAGCTTTATTGTAACAAATATCCATGGATCCTGTACTGTACTGTAATAATCCGAAAAATTACAACAAACTGAAACAGTAGCCACGATGCCCGACGGAGCCGAAAATCCACCAGCATGATGGACCGGTCGGTTCCACTGCGGGGTGTGGTCGTGTCGCACGCCGACATAAGTTGTGCTAGTCAACATTCCGCTTTGTAGTGACCGTTCTTTATAAAGGCTGGCAGTCCGATTAATAAACTCTGTTCAATCAGTCAGTATGCCAGGTCTGGATTAAGGCTTTGGCGGACTTCGGCCTGGTGGAACGCTGCCAAGGTGCGGGAGGAGATTACCGTTATTATCCAGTGCGGGAATTAGACCCTGCAAATTTACTGGCACGAGTCCTGGAAGCTGGCTGCCGACGTTAGGGTTGCAGGAGGCGGGAGGTTAGGAGGGTCAGCACTGCTGCACACGATGAAAAGGAGTAGAAGGGCCACACGCTCCATAGCAGCGGGAGTCGAAGAAATGTACTCGTTTAATTATCGTACAAGAACGCGCCAACAGAGATATTTGCCAACACCTGATGGTAATAAGACTTAATCATTCACCTGTATTCATGCTTTTTCTGCTTCTTTTATGCGAACACTTCTCAAAGGCGGCAAAAGCCACAGAATTGTGTACATATGTGATTTATGATTAGTAGATCACGAGTAACATGGTGAAGAGCGGCCTACTAATTTTACCGAGAATGACACTGCATTAAGTTGGTCTGCAGCTGTCACATTCTCCGGTCTAGTGATGCTCTGCTGGTGTCGGTATTTACTAAATGGATGCGTTTCGGTGTCACCGTAGGGAATATCACGGCAATATTTCGGAGTTTCACTGTAGTTTGATAAATTCAACCCCGGTAGGTTTGTCGCATAATTTGTTTTTTCCTTTTTCACTATCAGCTCTTTATTAATAATCAATGCACAAATCAGGTGGAAGAAAAATAAACACATTACATTATTCACAACAGCAAAACTTCGTTTAAACTATCCACTCCGTCCATCGTGCCAATGATAGATGCTGCATTTCCGCGCTGAATTTCCAGCGATAGCCGTTGACGCAGAATTTCATGCGATCGACGCTCTCCCGTATGCTGCTGCAGTCATTTGCCCAACCCTTTCACAATGGCGATAGCCGACGGGCCCACCCATTGACCCATCGTCTCAAAGGCGATCGGTTTGCGGTTTTTCCATTTTTCTGTCTACGATCTTCCTGGCAGTTTTGTATCTTGTTTTTAACCATGACAGGCTAATTAACTTTCCCAGGTCGCGATTTTCTGTGAAGTCTACACCTACACTGATGCGTCTGTAGATTTCGAAGCACATGGGAAAATGAATAATTTATTAAAATACCGGTATAAGGTTTTCATTTAAGTACGTACATGCATTAGGACGATGTACAGTACGTTCGTTTTTGAACCTGCCAAGCGCGATGCGCTGTTCAGTTGGACACAGGGTTCAATTTAATCTCCAATTGCACTTTTAATTTCGCTTAATGCTAAATTTAGCTTTTTATGGATTAAGAAGCGGGATTTCAGAGTTCTCGGTACACTGAGGTTTTTCTTCGTAAAAAACGGCGACATACAGTACCGTGTGCCATGAGGGCGGACTGAAAACTGCTGATTGGACCGTTTTCCCGGCCCTAGCAAATTTCGTGCGACCGGTTTGATCAGCAGATTAATTCGCGAAGTACAGCTTTCAGTCGAAGAAGCACAGCCATCACATAGCGCACTCGCACTTGCGAAGTTGTTTTTCTGTTCACTTTATATTCTTGCACGAAAGAATTTTGCGGTTCACACTTCGCAGTTAGTATTAGGGTATACTGTTGGCAGTAAAACTCCTTCGACATTTCGATTATAGATTTACACGCTTGTCGGTTGTCGAAACCATAACGTGCTTTTGCCATAATGGGTCCTAAACCGAAGAAGTTGAAGCCGTCGGATCAAGCAGACCCCAAATCCTTTAGGATCCAGCTGCGCATCGGCGGTTCCGAGGTGTCCGTGGACAAAGCTGCTCTGGCGGCCGAATCAGCGTACTTCGCCACCATGTTCGCGGGGAACTTCAAGGAGAGCGTCTCGAACGCCATCGAACTCCAGCAACCGGCCAACGTCTGCCTGCAAACGCTCGTCAAATTGGTGGAGAACGTGGGCAAGAAAGACTCGGAACTGCCCATTGAACAGAAAGACGCCGTTAAAGTGTGGATGGCTGCCAAATACCTGCAAATGGAGAAAGTGGAGAAAACGGCTGCCGGAATCTTGGATAAGCAGATGGAGCGACCGAAGTGTGCCTACCGCTTGTGGCGGTAGGCAAAAAAAGCGCAATTAGGAGCGCAACAAAAAGCGCAATTAGGAGTTTTTTTTTATAATGAACAGCAGTGGCAATAGTGTTTTGCAGTGAAATGCAGTTGGGATTAGCGTTGGTCTAATAAAACAACCTGAATCTGACGCGCAAAATTTTAGGGTTCTCGGTAGACAAAGGTTTTTCATCGTACTAAACGGCGACATACAGTACCGTGTACCACGAGGGACGGCTGCACGCTTGGTAGCGAAATACGATTATAATCCGGTATGCAAGGTAGAGTTGTACGACGTTCGCAGCAACACATGGACGGAGCATACCAGTTGGACGGATAAAAAGATATTCCATCACCGTTGTGGCACGATTGTCTTGGACTGGCACCTATACTTCACGGGCGACTGCGTAGATGCCGGAGGGTTTTCGTTCTACTAGCACAGCAATAGTCAGACGACGTCAGCATGCTTCCGTGTCTCACTGAGTGAAGACAGAATGTACCGTCCCCAACCGGAATCCATCGCGAATCTAAACGTAGCTCGTTTTCAGCATTGCGCCTTCATCAAAGACGGACAGATTTGGGTGTACGGCGGGACGACCCATGTGGGCGGGAACAATAAGCGCACGCGGGCGCTGACGTCCTTTGGTAGATTGACGAATAGCCAACCGGCAGGGATCACGAACACGTTTAGCTCCGAATTATTGCTGCGTTGGATACTTTTTTGTCATAAATAATTGTCAGTGTTAAATAAGCTGCATTTTTCTTTAACCCTGGTCTGCACTTTCCTTGTGTACACCTTTTTGTATTTTTTAAGTTTTATTTTTGTCTAGAATGTGATTAGCTCAGATAAAAGTTCTCGTATCCGCCGTGTCGGCCGGTAATAAACATATTCTCAGCGAGAATTTTACTCATTAACACAACAGGCCAAACTTCTAGGGCAAGTCTACTTGAGCGATTGATCGAGTCACAACGGTTACACCCTCAAAAGTTTCCGCTTAAAGATCAATTCTAACGTAAATACAGTACAGCACATCGATATTCGGTGCAGACGTACGTGTTTCCATTCGCATTTAATGCGCGACAGCTCAGCGCACGTTAAGTGTATTATTAACAAGTACTTTACATACTACTTATGCAATTTCTAGTTGCTTCGTTTCCAACTTCGCTTCACGCTAAATTGTACTTTTAACGAGTTAAAAGACAGGATTTGAGAGCTCTCGGAAGACAGCAAGTAATTCTTAACAAAATGGCTGCTGCCTGCTGTGGTACCTGTTTTAGTTTATCACGAGGGCGGGTTTCACGCTGGTGATTAGTCTATTTCCACAGCGCAGTCTACTACCATAGGAAGCTGACCGGCCGGCAAATCCGTTCACGCACTGCTTTCACTTTCAGCCAAAGAG